TCCTGGACTAACTTTTAGACAAGTACCAGTGTCTTTGAAGGTTTCAACATACACTGTTGAATCTCATCCTGCTTTGGGAGCCACTTCACAGGGCCCTGTAATGTCCACCCGAGTCTTGTCTTCACCGCAGCAGGGCCTCCGGGTGGTCCGAAATGAACGAGAGCCAATGGTGTTATCAAATGAGGGCGGTCTGATCCTATGAACAACCGTGGCTTGGCGTTGTTGAATGATGAGAGTGGAAGATTCCTCAAGTGCCTGTACCTTTGCTGAAGTCTATCTACCGGGTAAGTGTGATGTGCAAGACCAAGGTGTTAGGTTGGTTAGCAGGGGATAATGTGAAGTCCACTGCCGCTCCCTTCAGTGTCTTCAAGGTCCGCAGTGTCAGGCTTTCAGGTTCACCTGATAACTTCAACTTCTGCGCTGGATCCTGGAAAAGTATTGTTCTCTCCGCAAATGCACATAAAATAAGTACGGGACCCAGAAGGAACTACTGCGCAATATGGATTAATGGACTTCATTGATAGGGAGAGGGAAGACAAGAAAAGAACAAAATACTTTGGTAAACTGTATTTCATATGTGTTTCGTATGGAATTAATTTAGGGCTGTCCGATTAGTCTGTATAGTCAATGATGTCAACTCTGAAAATGCATCAACATCAATATTTTAAATAGATTGTCGTTTTGTTTTGTATTATTTTAATAAAATGACCATATCTTGTGATTTTTAAAACGGTTCAATTCATTATAAGAAATGTTTTCCTTTAATATCACTACGTAATTATGGGAGTAGTTAAAATTATCACAAAACAAAAAGGTGGTTTTATACTGTAAAGTACGATGGCATATTACAGGGGCACTAGCACTATGCTTGAGTGCCTGAAGACAAACCACAGGCATAATTCTGGACCGCTAGAATAAGCAAAACCACCATAAGTGTTGTCTATTCATGTTTATTAAATTATCATTAGTTCAGAGAGATTTTAAATATCTTTTGTCCTTTTAGTTGCTAAATAGACTCATTATTTTAGCCATGGAGTCTGCTTACTACCTTAGAATCTCCTCTGAATGAGTGTTTGTGAAATTGTTTAAGCTAAAATCTGGCTTTATTCTGTGGATTGATAGCGCCTGTCATGACCTGTGCATCCAGTCCTTGTGTGTGCCACCTTGTTACCCACGTGTGACTTCCCATCGTACCAGCTGTCTTGCGTTTATTCTGATGTCATGTCCTTTTATTTAGTCCGCGTTCAAGTCTGTTTCCCCAGGTCTGTCATTGACGTTGTTTACCTAGTGCTCCCCTGTCTGTCTGTTTTCCCTAAATAAACCCCATTGCCCTTGGATTCCGGTCTCCTTGATCCTGCTTTCCCGCACCCCGCTCGCTCGTCCGACACGGTACATGACAGTGCCAGTGTGTGTTTGTGTGCATTGGGCTTGTTGGGACCAGTGTTATTATCGTATAGCCCCTTTCTTCACTGCCAATTCAGTGCTTATTGTTACATTCTGCCTTACTCATACAGAATGGACTTATATAACACATTAAGGGTTGCGCACACCACTCTAGCTTGAACAATTTATTTCTCTATCAAGTCGCATCACAAAACCATCAAACTTCCAGTGTTACATACAAAACAGTCCATGCTGCAACACAAGACCTTGACATCAATCCTGTCATGTCACATACGAACAAATATAACTAAACAGTAATAACTCTGACTGTCCATAAGACTTGTTCCAAGAATAAGACAATGGGACAACTTTTTATCTTCCTGTGACATAGTCCTTAAGGTAGTGGGGTTTAAGGACAGTTCTTCCTGATCGTGTGGTGACAGCAGAAGGTTGTTCAGATTCAGCCTGGGATACGACTGTGTCGTTCTGTCTGTCAATGTTGGAAATCACATTGCGCTCCGAAGTTCTCTCATTAAGTCTCAGATGGCATCTATTTCATTTCAAAACACTCCCATCTTCCAATTTTACCTGATATGACCTATTGTCAGCTGCTCCGAGTACTGCTGCTTTCTTCCATATCTTGTGTGGTGTTACAGGTTGAATGCGAACAGTGTCTCCCTGCTTAAGTGTATCCATGTCTTTGACGTATCTATTATAGTACATTTTCTGTTCTATTTGTTTTTTGTATGAGTCCCTGATGGGTGTGGATTACCTTTGGCTAGAGCAGGTTGTCACTCATTGGCAACAGTGTCCTGGTCCTCCTGCTGTAGAGTCTCTGTGCTGGGCTTGCTGGGAGCCCCTGTAATGGTGTATTTCGATGAACGAGGACGGACAGGTATGGATCTTGGCCTGCTGCCTTGATCAACAGCCATTTAGCCGTCTTTACTGCCGACTCTGCTTTTCCATTGCTTTGTGGATAACCTGGTGAGGACGTCTTGTGTTGGAATTCTCTCTGTCTGCTGTATTTCCCTTAAACCCATGTTTGGGCCATTGTCTGAGATCAATTCCGTGTCTCACAAAGTGAGCCTTCAGTTTCTGTTGTTCCTAAACGTTTCCACTTTGCAATAATACCACTTACAATTGACCATGGAATATCTAGTAGGGAAGGAAATTTCACAACTTATTGCAAAGGTGGCATCCTATGACTGTACCATGCTTGAATTCACTGAACTCTTCAGAATGGCCCATTCTTTCANGGAGTTCAGGAGATTGTCTTGACCAGGACCACACCCCTAAATGCATTGAAACAACTGCTATGTGATTGGTTGATTAGATAATTGCATTAATGAGAAATTGAACAGGTGTTCCTAATAATCCTTTAGGTGAGTGTATATATATGTGTGTGTGTGTGTGTGTGTGTGTGCGTGTGTGGGTGCTGTCTGAGGTACTGTATCAAGTATAGTCCATCTGTCCATAAGCTGTGGGTCTTAGAGGTGCTGCTGTGACACTGCTTGGTGGGACTCAATTTGCAGCCACCACTTGCTAGACAATAATGTAAGGACACTTAACTCCTGCATCTCAAGACCTATCCAGCCAACCAGGGGGACTAAGGGTTACATTTATGCAGAGATTGTGGACATCCTTCCTGACCTGCAACCCAACCTGAAAATCCTGTTACTGATCAAACTTTCCTGTTTTTGCAAAGAGGCTGACTGCAGCATTTTGTTATGAGTCTTGGAGTCCCATAGCTTCACAAAGTTCCACAAGACACAAATTTTGTTAGTGAATTTAGTTCCTCCATTCTGGTTCTTGCTTCTTGTATTTGTCCTTTTGTATGGGTTCATGTCTCATCGTCCAAGACGTTTCACTTTGGTAGAGGAAGAAAGGAGATGTCCCCCTGCTGTGGCTCATTGAGGGCAGATGAAAGACAGGAAGAGGTTTACCTCGTTCTCGATAACTATGGAAGGTGGATGAATGTCATCAGGGGAGTAGTGGCAGGATGTCATCTGCCAGACATCTATCAGGACAACAGCCAGCCCCTGGAACATGGCCCTGAGAGCACAGTCCAGCTGCCAGGTGAGCCAGTCACTGGCATAGATGTCTTTAAAGCCTGTGTTGGCCGACTTGATGATGACCAGGGTGCGAGGAGCCCTCTGCAGCAGAGATACCACTGACCTGCGGATGATGGCCAGGCGGTTCACGTAAAAGGCCAGAGGGTACGTGGTGAAGTGCGCCCAAATGTCAAATGCGATGATCATGTGCTCCCCTCCAGCCAGGTTGTCAATCTCATTAGCGATGTAGTGCAGATCAGCCATGGGGGTCTTGTTGGTGCGCAGAGGCAGCCCATGTGCACGCCAGGTGATGAGAGTGCCTGACTCAGTGTCCACTATCATCAGAGGGCCTGACTTTCCAGAGGCGTGAAGGTTCAGAGGCTTCAAGGCTGTGGGAAAGTGAAGTGGTCAGTCTCTGTGACAGCATATTATGCATCTTAATATGTGCCTAGATATGATATTTCAATTCAGTTTTTGACATTCAAATTCAATTTTTCAGTTGAGTGGAGGGTATTTGTATAAGAAATAATAATCTGTATAAATCTGGATAAATTGGAACATTTACTGAAATGTGTAGTTGCCATTCTAGAGTTCTGTTATAAATTTTACCACATTCAAAATGACCCTTGTAAGGGAGCAGCAGGAGTTACCAGTAGAAATTAAGAAATTTCATGTATTGTAGGAATCTACATTCTCGTAAGAACTGCTTTTTCTGTTGGTGGAAATGCTGGTCTGCTCTATAAATATATGTTCCAGAGGAAAACTGGACTCTTACTGGGCACAGCTTTCCCCAGATACTCAAACCACTGGCGCAGGGTGGAGTCTCCCATCATGTGTATCTGCTTGCCGGTGAGGCAGCGAATCACATCTGATTTGGAGAAGGTCTTTGTGCGACACACCAATGACGTCCAGTGGTCCTTGAAGAAGAACCCTGAAGGTACTGGTGTGTTCAGACCTGACACACATTTTTTGGTTTCACCTGTGACAGAAAGACAGAAAATGGACGCTGAGGAACATTTTTGTTCCATTGAGATGAATTAATGTCATTTGTACCTTGGGGAACAAAACTGGAGCAGTGCTGTACACTTTTTTCTGACGATGCCTTTTTTGAGTCTGTCTTGGATTGTAGTTTGTCTCACCAAACATGTTTGCCAAGGGAGGCTCAACCAGGAGATCCAGACAACATACAGTACTGTGGAAAAGTCCTAGGCAGTCAAAGGAAATGTTTAAAACTATATATCTGGGTAGTATGTGTATATTTGCTCAGTCAAAAAGCACAATTTAATATTAGAACATATGCTGATTATGAGCAACACAATAAAATCTCATGTTCTTCAAAAGGTTACTGATATCTTGCTGGATGACTAGATGAATACCAATTTGGTTCCTAAACCTCTCCTCAGGGGCACCTCAGACATTTAATGTATTTGTTAGATTTCACCACAAGCTCATTTAATACATTAATTAAACTAGTTTAAAGAAATCACTGAGGCATAGGTTAGCCATATTGTAAGAGTGTAAGACTATAAGATTTCCTTTATTGGGATTTTATCATGCACCTTAGTACGATTAAGAGTGAAATACCATTCCTCCTAGACCAACAGCATAAATAGATAAATGAAAATTAAAAACATAAGAAGCATTAAAAAACAACATGCACAATACACACAATACACCTACAGCCCGTATCCATGGTGATCCATGGTGCATTTGGAGGGAGTAGCAGCATGAAAAAAATCTTTTTCAGTAACAAATCTTTTATAGTGTGTTGAAGGATGTAGCAGCTAGTGGCCTACTCAAAGAATACAAGGGTATATTGGATGGTTGGAGGTTTGGAAATGACTAAGGGCTGACACACTTTGACAGATGTAATATCACAGTTTTATATCAACATGAAGACCATTTAAACAATTTTCTGTGACTACCTAAGACAGGGATCGGCAACCATTTTAAAGCAAAGAGCCATTNCCAGGGTGCGAGGAGCCCTCTGCAGCAGAGACACCACTGACCTGCGGATGATGGCCAGACGGTTCACGTAAAAGGCCAGAGGGTATGTGGTGAAGTGCGCCCAAATGTCAAATGCGATGACCATGTGCTCCCCTCCAGCCAGGTTGTCAATCTCATTAGCGATGTAGTGCAGATCAGCCATGGGGGTCTTGCCGGTGCGCAGAGGCAGCCCATGTGCGCGCCAGGTGATGAGAGTGCCTGACGCAGTGTCCACTATCATCAGAGGGCCTGACTTTCCAGAGGTGTGAAGGTTCAGAGGCTTCAAGGCTGTGGGAAAGTGAAGTGGTCAGTCTCTGAGACAGCATATTATGCATCTTAATATGTGCCTAGATACGATATTTCAATTCAGTTTTTGACATTGAAATTCAATTTTTCAGTTGAGTGGAGGGTATTTGTATAAGAAATAATAATCTGTATTAATCTGGATAAATTGGAACATTTACTGAAATGTGTGGTTGCCATTCTAGAGTTCTGTTATAAATTTTACCACATTCAAAATGACCCTTGTAAGGGAGAAGCAGGAGTTACCAATAGAAATTAAGAAATTTCATGTATTGTAGGAATCTACATTCTCGTAAGAACTGCTTTTTCTGTTGGTGGAAATGCTGGTCTGCTCTATAAGTATATGTTCCAGAGGAAAACTGGACTCTTACTGGGCACAGCTTTCCCCAGATACTCGAACCACTGCCGCAGGGTGGAGTCTCCCATCATGTATATCTGCTTGCCTGTGAGGCAGCGAATCACATCTGATTTGGAGAAGGTCCGTGTGCGACACACCAAAGACGTCCAGTGGTCCTTGAAGAAGAACCCTGAAGGTACTGGTGTCTTCAGACCTGACACACATTTTTTGGTTTCACCTGTGACAGAAAGACAGAAAATGGACGCTGAGGAACATTTTTGTACCATTGAGATGAATTAATGTCATTTGTACCTTGGGGAACAAAACTGAGGGCAGCGTGGTGGTGCAGTGGTTAGCACTGTTGCCTCACACCTCTGGGACCTGGGTTCGAGTCTCCACTTGGGTCACATGTGTGTGGAGTTTGCATGTTCTCCCCGTGTCGCCGTGGGGTTTCCTCCGGGTACTCTGGTTTCCCCCCACAGGTCAAAGACATGCTGAGGCTAATTGGAGTTGCTAAATTGCCCTTAGGTGTGCCTGTGTGAGTGTGCCCTGCAATGGGCTGGCCCCCCATCCAGGGTTGTTCCCTGCCTCATGCCTGTTGCTTCCGGGATAGGCTCCAGACCCCCCGCAACCCAGTAGGATAAGCGGGTTGGACAATGGATGGATGGATGGATGGAACAAAACTGGAGCAGTGCTGTACACTTTTTTCTGACGATGCCTTTTTTGAGTCTGTCTTGGATTGTAGCTTGTCTCACTTGTTTGCCAAGGGAGGCTCAACCAGGAGATCCAGACAACATACAGAACTGTGGAAAAGTCCAAGGCATTCAAAGGAAATGTTTAAAACTATTTATCTGGGTAGTATGTGTATATTTGCTCAGTCAAAAAGTACAATTTAATATTAGAACATATGCTAATTATGAGTAACACAATAAAATCTCATGTTCTTCAAAAGGTTACTGATATCTTGCTCGATGACTAGATGAATATCATTTTGGTTCCTACTGTAAACCTCTCCTCAGGGGCACCTCAGCCATTTAATGTATTTGTTAGATTTCACCACAAGCTCATTTAATACATTAATTAAAGAAATCACTGAGGCATAGGTTAGCCATATTGTAAGAGTGTAAGACTGTAAGATTTCCTTTATTGGGATTTTATCATGCACCTTAGTACGATAAAGAGTGAAATACCGTTCCTTCTAGACCAACAGCATAAATAGATAAATGAAAATTAAAAACATAAGAAGCATTAAAAAACAACATGCACAATACACACAATACACCTACAGCCCGTATCCATGGTGATCCATGGTGCATTTGGAGGGAGTAGCAGCATGAAAAAAATCTTTTTCAGTAACAAATCTTTTATAGTGTGTTGAAGGATGTAGCAGCTAGTGGCCTACTCAAAGAATACAAGGGTATATTGGATGGTTGGAGGTTTGGAAATGACTAAGGGCTGACACACTTTGACAGATGTAATATCACAGTTTTATATCAACATGAAGACCATTTAAACAATTTTCTGTGACTACCTAAGACAGGGATCGGCAACCATTTTAAAGCAAAGAGCCATTCAATCCTAAATTTTTGACTCTAGATTTACAAAGGTGCAATGGGTAGAGAACGGGGTTTGAGATACGATTTTTTTATGCAATATGGATATATATGTATTTAACACAAATACAAAACTTCAAGTACGTACAGAAAATAAAGAAAATCAATTTTATGAGACTTGTGACACTGCATTTCCACACAGAGCTGTTTCATGTTCAGTGAGAAGCATGTGCTGATTATAACACATTGCTGCACCCACCACACAACAAACCAGCTGAGGAAGTGTGAGTTTTTTCTGCTGGTTGAAATGCCAATTTTGCCACCAACCCCTAGACTTTCCTTTTAAGTTGAAGAACCTGCTTACAAGGCTGAATCATATGTGTGTGTGTGTGTGTGTGTGTATATATATATATATATATATATATTACAAAAATCACATACTTACACAACAGGTACTATATTTTATTAGAAGCCTACTACTTGACCGTACAGTATGTTTGCATGAGAACAGTATGCATATTACTTGACCTGGATGTTTTGCAATGACATAGCAAAAGTTAAAAACTGTTAAAGACTATCACCAAAAATTAATGAATACTTGAGTCAACTTAAGCAACTGGATGGTGTTTTCTACTTAAATTTGTACCAAGAAGTCAATTGACAGCATGCCAGGGCGAATTGCAGAGGTAAAGGGACAACACTGCAAATATTGACTTAATATAAACTTAATGTAATTTTCAATAAAAGCCTTTAACTTAATGTAATGCTTGTAATTATCCTTCAGTATACCATAGAAACATCTGACAAAAAGATTTACACTGAAGCAGCAAACTTTGTGTACACAAGTACTTGTGTATTTCTCAAAACTTTTGAAAAACCTTTTAGACTGTTCTAACAATATGCATATTGTTTATGTTGGCCCTCTAAGTCCTTTTCCATGTATTGTTTTTGCATATTTAACTGTTTGTGTGTGTTATGATTTGTAAGGAGTCTCCATGCAGTAGCTTTTCCTGTGGGTTTTCAGATGGATTGGCCTGTGACAGTGGTACTTGTATGACTGTATGAAGTACTCTTCCATCATGGTACAGAAAATGACACTTGAACAGGAAATGGGAAGATGGGAAAAAGAGAGACATTTTCTCTCAATGACAAATATGGACTCATCAAAGCTTATGATAAACTGTCAAAAATGAGCCAAAGAGATATAGTAGCGAAACTAAAATATGCTATATTTTATATACAGTACTGTAATGTATTTGAATTAGCTGTACTGTATTTTGAAAGACTCAATAAAATTCAGTAAATATCGACGCTGTCCGTTTTGTTACCTTAAACTCATGTAATTAATATACAAATATCAATTAGATGATAATCTGCCTGAGACATAAGGAAAAAGAAAAAAATCATTTATAATGATCTTCCGCTTATAGTGATCAATTTCACATGATCATTATAAGTGGTTTCCACTGTAGCTGAAATATATTTACCCCACGTATGCATATATTTTTCTCCTTTATCAAACATCCTGTATGACATTCATTCATATACAGCGATCTTTCCCAACTCAGCCATCCAAGCCATCTGTCTGACAGCTAAACCTTGGCTGAAACTGGGTCATGCAACAGGACAATGAGCCCACGCACACCAGCAAATCTACAACAGGATGGCTGAAAAAGAAAAGAATCAAGGTGTTGCAATTACCCAGTCAACGTCCAGACCACAACTCAATTGAAATGTAGTGGGACTTTGAGAGAGCTGTGCGTAAAGAAATACCTGCAAACTTCAATGAACTGAATCAATTTTGTAAATGAGAGTGGGCCAGAATACCTGCACAATGATGTGAGACACTGATAAAGTCATACAGAAAACAATTACTTCAAGTTATTGGATGTACTTATTCTTTAACACATGACATCTCCATTTTGACTTCATTTCTGTTAAATAAATAATGACACAGTAGAATCTATTGTGCATTGTTTTACACCTGAGGTTAGATTGAATAATTTTAGAACCTGGTAGGGAACAGTTTTTTTTAATTATGTCCTGGTAGGTAAAACTATGCTTTCTTTTTCACATGACTGTATATTAATGTAACCAGTATGGCATATTACATATAGTATGGTATGTTATCGGACAAATGATAAATGAACTCTCCATTCCTTGCTAGTCCCTGTGTGCTCCGTCTCACTACCTCTTCACCTATTTAAAACACAAAGTGTCCATATTGTATTCAAGTACACCTTATCTGAGTCCGAGTCAAGTCCGAGAGTGGGGAACAATAAGTAGGAGGAAAAGAACACTTACGAATATCAGTATGTTGAGCAAACACATTGATGACTGGGCTGCTTCCTGGAAGGACAATGTTTGTATTATCCCTGCAGAAATACACAATGCATTATTTTAAAAATAATATCATTGGTATGTATGACAAAATATGAAATAAACATAAATAACTCAATCACCAGAAAAATACATTTAATTTTCTATTATAAATTAACACCACAAACCAAACGGAGCTCCCTCCACCATGCAAGAAGTGTCACTCTAGCTGGTTCTCTTACTGTATGTGGTTCCCTGATGGTGGAATAAGCTGCCAAACCACATCTGGTATTCAAACCCCCTTTCCACCTTCAAGAAATCCTCCATACCCATCTGTTCCATGAACGTTCCATGAATGTTCTTATGTTGCACTTCTGCTCCTTGAATAGTCTTATTAGGTTCTTGCTTTGTTGGAAGTTGTTGTGCAGCTCCTGCTCCAATGCGGTTTATACTTGTGCCTGGACATTCTTTGTAAGCTCAGCCTAGCTGTCTAGTTGACTCACTGATGGCCTGTATGTTCACAATGAGCGCTTCTCCTTATTTGAACATCACTTTGGACAAAAGTCTCTGCTAAATATGTAAAATGTAGATATTAGCACTGCAGCCTCATACATCAAAGGTTGTGGGTTCCTGTTTCCTCCTGAAAAAACATGCAGTTAAGCTGGCTTGCTGTCTCTAAAATTGCCCATATGTGTCTTCTACCTTGAGCCCTGGGATTCCTGGAAAACTACTTATGCACAGTAGATATACTACATATCATATTCTTATGTCATAGAAGTGAATTGAGAAAGAATACAGTGCTAAAGCACGAGGCATAATACAGCTGATGCCTGAAATGTACAGATCAAGCAAAATCAGTATCATGCCAAGTAACAGAGAACATTCAACTTTTAAAAAGGGGAATTTATGAATCTCTTTTCTGACAATATATATGTTGTGTATGTATCTGACAAAAAAAAAAAAGCTTCATATTCCCACGGTCAATATGGGACAATGTTCTGATATATTACTTCATAATACTGACTGATAAGAAACTGAAAATATGAATACGTTGGATGTTGAAGGGCCTGAAATTAGCACCAGGCCACCAGAAACAATATGGGTCAATTTTACCTTTTAACCAAGCATTTTGCTTGGTGACAACCTACTGCTACATTAATCACTGCATAAATAAGCATAACAAAGTATTATATTTCTTACTTGTGTTAAAAGTTAAAAGCATGGGAAGAAATGGTGCCCTTGCCTTTTAAGACATTACACATAATGGCTGGTTTATGAGAAATTTAATTTCAGGATTTGATGCTGCAATGACATCCCATAATACTACATCTGATTAGCACATGTATTACTTTTCTATGAATTTATGAGGAAAATTAAGCATCAGAATTACCACACTGATGTAAAACAATTGTGGGTCCATAGACATATTTTTTATGAAACATTGTTGGTTATTTTTCAATCTGTTTAAATCAAATAAAATAATGGTACTATTATTATTTTTCGTTGCCACTTTTTTTTTACCTGACAAATGAGCGAGGCATTGCAATACAAGTATTAGGTATATGCTTTGTCTGTCAAGCGTCACGTAATCACAACTGAGCCGATGGTTCTTCTCTCTCTCTCGCTGCGGGATTGTGTATAATCGTTTCCCATGGTCGGTCTCAGTCGGCGTGCCTCACTCATATAGTTAAAATTTAGTAGAAAAGCACCACCCAAATAAGGGCGTAAGCAGTACGAGCGATGAATCTGTTTAACGACAATGCAATGTCCACATTTACGCAAAATCGAAAAGGAGACAAACGGAGCTGTTATTGGATAGGTTCCTTGTTAAAGTCGCACAAAAAGAAAAAGATTCCAGTGAGCCAACAGAAAGCAGTGATTCCTTTAGTTATATATAGGTAAAGTGCAGGTTAATTTGCTTTATGTATTTTTACTTTATATTTTGTATTAATCATTTTTATATGAATATTTTTCGGTTGTGGAATGAATCATCTAGGTTTCCATTATTTCTAAAGGGAAAATTTGCTTTGGTTTGGATTATGGTTCCGGAACGAATAATGCTCGGTATCCGAGGTTTTATTGTATATATATATATATATATATGTGTGTGCGTGTGTGTTTGTGTGTGTGTGTGTAAGATGGAGTTGCTGGACTGCATGTAAAAAGCAAGAACAGCCTCACCTGTCTAGGATCTTGGACTCATTTGTGGACAGTTGGGCTTGGTACCCCCCCGTGCTGTGGTAGACCAGAGCACTGCAGGGCAGAGAGGTGGGTCGACGGCAGAACCAGACCTCCCCGCTGCGAGGGTCACGGTATTCACAGCAGCAGCGGCTTCCATCCCCCACCAGCCGTGGGCTCTTCATGGCATTGCACACCACATTCTCCTTTATATCCCCATCCTCAAAGTATCCAGTGAAGAAGATCTTGTCTGGATCCCGCTCTCTATGCCGGCTCAATACCTGAACAGCTTCGCTGGAGTGAATCAGCCGGATAGAAACGTGGGCAGGGCCGGGCCAAAGGAGTGCAAAACTGACTGAGTAGGTCCCATTGTCATGGTCTACCACAAGACCAAATGTACTAGCTTTGAGCTCTGTGTTGTATAACTTGGCTTGGAAGAAGTCCCCTCCATATGTTTTAGGAACTCCTCTGCCATTTCTTGCGACCACTGATACATTTACAAAGTCCCCTACAGTGTAGTTATCCTTCCAATTAAGCACAGTGAAGGTGCATTTGCGTGGGTCTGTGGCTTCAGTGGGGGTGGGGTTTTCTATGGTGGGTGAAGGCCATTTGAGCATCTCTAATAGGAATTCCCATTCTTCAGTACTGATTTTAGTGTTGGCCAAAGAATGAGTTGCATGAGGCAGCTGTGTGGGTTTTTGGGAGTTCTTAGTATACTGTGCCTGAGAATGATTGTGGGACATTGGCTTTAGCATTGTCCACTTCGTTGGGGTTCCGTTCTTCATTTGAAGGTATAGGTATATCTAGTAAACACATTAATAGGGATGAATGCAGATGTCACTCTCACCTTTTGAGAGTTAAAGGCAATCATAATTAATTAAATTAATACAGATAATAATCACTTAAAATATTACTTAAAATTCTATCTGTTATGTCCCCTGTGTGTCCCTGGTTCTGCAGGAGAAGCCATTTTATTGATTGATGGTTGCCTTTGAAATCATAGTGGACATTTCCATGGCCCATGACACAACCCAGAAGTGCCATATGAACTCTGTTGCTTTATAGAAAGCATCATAAAATCATAAATCATAAAAACAAATAAAAAAGTCATTGTCCTGCCCCGATTGTCCGCTCCTTCCGTGTGCCACACCCCCTTGTTAACCCTGTGTGGATGTGTGTATGTAACAAATATAACAGGACTACACCCAGGAAGCCAAGTTGCTGGTCTAAATGCTGTTTTTAGGGAGGACATCTCAGTAATAAACAATTAACAGTGAAATACATGATGGCCAGGATAAATTGAAAGGGGAACACACTGGAATTGTGCCTGCAGTCCCACTGTGTAGCTTCTGAGAGCTCTGCAGATCTTCCCCGATGATGCACATGGCCTCAGTATGTCTGCTGTGTCCAAATCTATACATGCATTGATCACATTCCTATTGCACCACATACAATTTCCAACAGGAGGGGATGCCTTCATGACACTACAACTGGTTTTCATGCCATTGCAGACAAACTGGAATTTTAGGTGCAGTGTATGGAGCCCTCAACCCTATTCATACTCCTCTTGTATCCCAGCAGCCTCTTGTTTTCCATCTGCAACTGCCGAAAAGGACTCTTGGCACTTGGACTAAATGTCCAGATGATATGCATCCATCAAGGGCTATTTACAACCATTGTGGCCAAGTGGCCTGGGAGTACACATGATGTCTATATCTGGTCCAGCTCTGGAGTGTAGCAGATGGCAAAGTATAGTATTTTTGCTGGTGGCTGGTTATTGGGAGACAGCAGGTATTAGTAGTGAATATCTGCTGATTCCAATGTTGAATCCCCAAACTGTTAATGAGGAGAGGTGTAACACCACACCCCAAAGTGTTGTACAGCATGCTCTGGTCATGAGGAAGAGGGGATGCACAAGTCCCTGGAAGGTCTAAGATTTCCTCCTGAATGCTAATGTGCTGTTAGTGTTGTGTGTGCTATGCTTCACAACAGTGCAGCAATTAATTTATTCAAATCTATTTTTGGCCACCTCCTCAGCAAGTTGTTTAACTCTTCTTTTGAGAAGTAATGCTTCCTTTTCCTATTGCTCTTTGCCAATGCTCATTTTTACAAGAAAGCAGTATCATGTTTTGAGCCCATTTATATATTTTTGACAAATTGGGTACTTTATTTTGGTTTAATTTTGTGTGCTTTCAGCTATTTTTATTGATTTTTTTTGGAATTTTATTTTTTTATATATTTGCATATGTCTGATGTGACAATACTATTTCATATTATGATTTCATGATTTCAACACCACGGACCACGGCCACCAATTCATACAGCCGAAATGCACAGAAACAAATTAAGCCATAGCTGCTTGTACTCAAGGGTGGCATGGTGGTGCAGTGGTTACCATTATTGCCTCACACATCTGGGACCAGCGTTCAAGCCTCTGCCATGGCTCCATGTGTGTGCAGTCTGCATGTTTTTCCCATGTTGTCATGGTATTTCCACTGTGTACTCTGGTTCCCCCCCCCCACCTGCAGTTGAAAAACATGCTGAGGTTAATTGCAGTTGCCAAATTGTGGGTGTGAATGGTGTGTGAGTGTGTCCTGTGATGGATTGACATTCCATTGTGGGTTGTTCCTTGCCTTGTGCCCATAGGCTCCAGACCCCCTGCAACCCTAAACAGAATAAGTGGTTGCTGAAAATGGATGCATCAGCCTAAACTGATGAACAGACTTCGCTGTAGCCCACAGATCCCTGTCTTAAGTGGACCAACGCTTCTCTACAGTAATGAGGGTCACATACACCACCAGTCATGGATGGCCATGTACAGATTTCTGTAGCGGTCCTGGGGATCCTGCAATTGTGACAGATGGCGCTTTCTCATAGGTTCATCTCCAGGGTCTGATGTGATTTGTTGCTTTTGCATAAACCGCTTGATAAGCTTCCTCTGACCTCTTCTCCTTGGCAAAAGCAAGGAGAGACTCAATTCTTTTTTTGCAGTAAAGAACATCCATAGCCCTTTGCTGGACAATATCAAAGACAACATCTGTCTCAGAGAAGATTTGGTCATATGTGTACAACATGAAGCCTTTGGCAGCATCTAATGTGTCATCATCCATACTCTCATCCTGGGTAATTTTGTCAAAGGTCAGCAGGAGGCCATCATGATTGTTTGCCACACTGCTCACTATCCGTGATATGAAATTCCATCGAGTAGGAGCGTTTCTGGGCAATTTTGAAGACCCTGCAGACTCAAGAAAAGACATCCTATTTGTGGACTTTGAAAGAAATTTGGTAAACCCAGAGAGACATGCAAAAAATATTCTTGATTCAGGCAAGCATTTACAGTAGCACCCTGGGACAATACCAGGTTGAGTCTGTGTGTATAGCAATGCACAAACATTGCACTAGGGGCTATTACTCTAACTTTGGCCTCTAGGCCATTGAAAGATGAAGCGAAGACAGCAGCCCATCGTAGGTTTGTGCCACAAGTTTTTCTCTAAAACTGTAGCCATGCATGTTCTCGTTCAAAACTTCAAACACATACTAAGCATCTCGACCCCCTGACCCTACCAAAAATCCAGTGAAGCACTCCTGAATTTTACCTGCAGTATCCACATACAGTGGTACCTCAGAACTCGAACTTAATCCGTTCAGAACTCCGGATCGAATCCTAAAAAGTTTGAGTTCTGATCAAATTTTCCCCATAAGAAATAATGGAAAACCAATCAATTGGTTCCCGGCTCCAAAAAAATTACATCTAAATATGTTTTTTTAGCATTTAAACACAAAATGAACCGGATAAATCAAGAAGAGCATATACTGTACTAAACTGTACTAAACACATCTAAGCACATTAATGTTTGCCGTGTGCTCCCCAGTCGTCCTATCAGACCTAAATAAAACCCCGTTATCCGTATTTACGGCTCTCTTGCCTGTTTCCCCGCTCGCCCGCACGCAGTCATTACAGCGTGGCTCATTTCCCGGCGCGTACAAGTTATCTTAGGTCGGCATTCACGGTTTGACTTCTGAGGTTCAGATCGAGCTCTAGGTAATTTTTTTTTTAACTGGTTGGTTCAACTTTTAAGAAATTTGAGTTCTAATGAGTTCGAGGACTGAGGTACCACTGTATCTAACAATGACAGACAGGAGCAGTCTGAATTTCACCTATGATATTATCAGAAGGAATGGCTGCGAAAGCAGAGATCAAGTCATTTAGGATTGAGTGGGACATACCAGAAAACATAGCTGATGACTGAAATTGTGTGGCCAAGACAGTCATATTTAGCTAATGTTTCTGTAAATTCCCTGCAATTCCCTTTATTTGCTGATTCACAGCTTTCGTCATGCCCCCTGAATGCCAGCTCCTGACGACCAAGCAAGGAAGTCACATCAATTAGGTGGTTTATGAAGGTCCTGTTTTTTTTACTGTTTCATTATGTTTTGCCATCTGAATGCGAAGACCTTCATTGATTGCATGTTCAACCCTGACCCTGCCCAGACAGCTTAACTTTGCACATGAACTCACATGTTCTTTGCACTTTTCATGCCTTTTGTATGCCCTGTCAAAGTTACCCAGATCCCCAAAACCCAATTTTGACCAAAAAACACATCCCGTTCCCTGAGAAGGTTTAATCGAGAGGCATGGCCATTTTCTTTGTCACAGCACTTCCAGTCAGCCAGTTCACCTTGTCATACCAGGAGAGCTGAAAAGACCTGTTATTTTTTCCCTGATTTTTGCACCAAATCAATCTTGGGCGTTGGTCTGCCCTGCTGTTTAATTCTGAGTCTCTCCTCATAAGGAAGACTATTAAATGGAAGTAGGTCAACAATATTAGCACCGTCTGCCATTATGCACAGCTTGCTAGCTGGCTAGTTTCCCCTTCCATGAGCTACTTGAATTATATGAATGAACTAACTTTACAATGCTGATACAAGAAGCAAAGTCAAGAACGCTATAATATTGTTTTTTTTTTTTTATTTAAAGAATGATTTGTAAGAGGATGTGCATAAGAGCTTCCTCACAGTAAAAGTGAACAAGAGTTGTGGACTAGATAGTTTTTTTTCTATTATTATTACAATATTACTTACTAGTTTTATTTATAAGTTTGAGGGCGTATTGTGTTGTTGCCAGTTTGAAAATAAGCTATAGAGAAAGCTTTCTAAAAGTTTTTACAAGTTTCTAAAAGTGTTTACAATGGCGTGGTCTGCCATCTCACTTACAAGCATCTTTTATGGCTTGTCAGATTGCACTTTAACCCTAAAGTTAAAAAAGCTAAATAAAGTTAAAACTTGT